TCTGCCGCTGCAGAGCGCGCGCGTCAGGGCAAGGGGCATGCGTGGCGGCGCGGGACGCGTGGCGGCGGCGGCGAGCAGCCGAGCGCTCCGTGAGCGGTGAGGCGGCCGGGCGAGGGCGCGGCGGGTGACGGGTCAAGGGAGCAGCCCACACCCGGCGTCGCTTTTTGAGCGACGCCTGTGGTACGCCTGCGCAGGGGCCGCAGGGCGGTCAGTTGTGGGGCGAGGCGGTGCCGGCCGCGGGCCGGGTGCAAGGCGCCGGCCTCGGCGCCGCCTCGGCGCGCCGCACGGGCGCGGCTCGCCTCTGAGCGGGAGCCGAAGGTTTGGTGTGGTAGGTAGGTGGTAGGGGCGGTGGTGGGGTTGTTTGACTTTGCCGCAGAGGCCGTCCCTAGCTGTGAACAGCAAAACGGGACAGTATTCTGGCTGTGTTTCTTTTTCTATGCCGGGGACAAGGATGGATGAAACCGGACTACTTTTGGGGCGGGCGCTCTAACGAGTCGCGACGAGTTTTTTCTTTTCCTCCTGTGAAAGAAAGAAATAAAGAAAACAGAGAGCCAAGGAGGGGATGGGAGCCGTAAATAAATAAATAAAACGGGCACGCCAAACGAGGGGTGGGAGAAGGACAGGGTCCCCACCTGATGGGAGCCGTGAAATGGGGGCTGGCCGCGAATTCTTTTTCTCGCGATCATACGAGTATGTCCACCCCGCCGCGCCGCCGCTCGCGCCGCCTCGCCGCCGCCGCCGCCGCCGCCGCACACTGCCCCCTCACCGACCTGCCCCTTGAGCTTCTCGCGCGCGTCATCTCCCGCTGCGACCCCGTCGACATCGCTCGCGTCGCGGCCGTCTCGCTCCTCTTCCACGCCTCGCTTGCGCTGGAGGGCATCCGCTTGCGGGCGCAAGAGCGCGGCTACGAGCTGCCGGCGCAGCCAGAGGGCGAAATCTGCGCCGTGCGGTGGCTGTGCTATTCGGCGCTGATGCGCGAGGCCAACCCGCCGCAGAGGGCGGCGGCAGGCCATCGGCACAGCGTCTTCATCGACGGCGAGGGGCGGCTCTTGTCGTGCGGCTCGGCGCCGTCCTACGCTCCAGGGCTGCTCGGGCACGGCGAGGGTGTGACGCGGCACAACACGCCGGCACGCCTCCCTTCCCCGCTGGGCGGCGAGCGCGCTGTGAGAGTGTTGGCTGGACTCGGGCACAGCCTCGCCCTCGCCGCCGACGGCGTCGTCTGGAGCTGGGGCGTGGGCTGCTATGGCATCCTGGGCCACGGCGACGAGCAGCAGCAGCTGGAGCCCAAGAAGGTCGAGGCCTTGACGAGCCAGGCCGTCCTCGCTATGTCGGCTGGAGGCGACCACAGCCTCGCCCTCACCACTGACGGTGCCGTCTGGAGCTGGGGCCGCGGACTCCTTGGCCGGTTGGGCCACGGCGACCTGCAGAACCAGCTGCTGCCCAAGAAGATCGAAGCCTTGGCGGGGAAGCGCGTCGTCGCGGTGTCGGCTGGAATCAGCCACAACCTCGCCCTCACCGCCGGCGGCGGTGTCTGGAGCTGGGGCTGGGGAGGGCAAGGCCGGTTGGGCCACGGCGACCAGCAGGACCAGCTGCTGCCCAGGAAGATCGAGGCCTTGGCTGGCCAGCGCACCGTCGCTGTCGCGCCTGGATACTTCCACAGCCTCGCCCTCACCGCCGATGGCGCTCTCTGGAGCTGGGGCGATGGAGGTGGGGGCCAGCTGGGCCACGGCGACCAGCAGCACCAGCTGCTGCCCAAGAAGATCGAGGCCTTGGCTGGCCATCGCGTCGTCGCTGTGTCGGCCGGAGGCAACCACAACCTCGCCCTTAACGCCGACGGCAGCGTCTGGAGCTGGGGCGGAGGAGACGGTGGCAAGTTGGGCCACGGCGACCAGGAGAGTCAGCTGCTGCCGAAGAAGGTCGAAGCCTTCACTGGGCAGCGCGTCGTCGCCGTGTCGGCGGGAACATACCAGAGCCTCGCCATTACCGCCGACGGAGCTGTCTTCACGTGGGGCAAGGGCGAACACGGCTGCCTAGGCCACGGAGAGGACCTGCCGAACCAGCTGCTGCCCAAGAAGATCGAGGCGTGGGCACCGGGGCAGTGAGGTGTGGCGGGGTTGCGTCTGTGTGCCCGATATTCTTACTCCAAAAAAGCCGCGAAAAAAGAAATATAACGTCCTACCATCACGCCTTGACCGGCCTCCTCGTGCCCGCGTTATTAGCCCGTCGCGAGAGCTCGCGCACCAGGTGGCTCGCGTCGCCGCGTCGCTGCTGCAGGGCACCGGTCTCTCCGCCTGCGCGCTGGTCGGCGGCGCAAACGTCAACCGGCTTCGCAAGGCACAGCCACCTACCTCTGCCACCCCCGCCCCCGCCATACCCACCCCTCTCCTGCCGCCTCCATGCTCCAGCCGCCTCCAGTGTCTCCGCCGCCCTCCCAGCTGTGTCGCCACCGCCGTCCACCCCACCCCCACCGTCGCCCCCCTCCCCCCTCCCCACCCTCACCACCACCGCCGTCTCCAGATTACCCGAGATTACCCGCGAGTCCGTGCCCGCCAGGCCGCGCGAGATTACCCGAGATTGGCTGTCCGCCAGGCGAGGCCGCAGCTCGTGGTCGGCACGGCGGGCAGAGTCGCAGAGCTCGCGCTCGAGGCCGAGATCAGCCGAGATGATGCCGAGATGCGGCCGAGATGCGGCCGAGATGCGGCCGAGATGCGACCGAGATCAGGTCGAGATCAGGTCGAGATCAGGCCGAGATCGGGCCGAGATGAGGTCGAGATCAGGCCGAGATCAGGCCGAGATGAGGCCGAGATGAGGCGAGACGAGGCGAGATCAGGCGGCTCGCCCAGCTCGAGAGCAGGCCCACCCCTGGTGAGGCCCACCCCTGGTGAGGAGATAGCCTCCCCCTCCCCTTCCCCCTCACCCTCAACCCTCACCCCTCACCCCTCCCCCAAGGCGAACAAGCTCTCGCTGCGCCGCGTCCGCCACCTGATCCTCGACGAAGTAGACGAGGCGGCGACTAGCCGAGAGGGGCCGAGAGGGGCCGAAGTTGGCCGAGGCTCCGCCACCCCCCCCCCCTTCCCCCCTCCCTCCCCTCCCCCCCCTCTTCCCCCTCCCACCCCTCCTGCCCCCTCCTGCCCCCTCCTCCCCCTCCCCCACCCCTCTTTCCGCAGGCTCTGCAGCCGCCGCACGCGCGAGACACCACGCGGCTGGTGGACGCCGTCCGGGCGGCGGGGGAGGGCGCCGGCGGAGACGCGTCCCTCTGGAAGCGGCTGCAGCTCCTCTTTGCCTCAGCGACGGCCGACACACCGACCGTCACTCGCACCGCCCTCCAGCTGATGGAGGCGCCGCTGCTGGTGCAGCTGCGCCTCTCTGCGGGCCGCTCGGGTGCGGCGGCGGGGGGAGGGGAGGGCTGCTCTCCTCCTCCGCCTTGGGCTGCGAGCCTCCTCCTCCTCCTCCGGGCAGCAGCACGCTCCCTCTCTGCATCGAGCACGCGGTCTGCGAGGTACCGGTGCACAAGCAGGCGCGAGCAGGGCAAGAGAGGAGCCGAGAGGGCAAGAGAGGACAAGAGAGGGCAAGAGAGGGCAAGAGAGGAGCCGAGAGGGCAAGAGAGGGCAAGAGAGGAGCCGAGAGGACAAGACAGGAGCCGAGATCATCCAAGGTTGAAGAGGAAGGAAGGAGAGGAGAGTAGGAGAGGGAGGAGAGGAGGAGAGGAGGGGGAGGGGTACGCCGCAGTGAGAGTCCTCTCGGCTGACCCCTGCGTGTGGCTTGGCGCAGGTGGAGCAGCTCGCGAGGCTGGGGCGCGTGCAACCTCAGGGGACTTTACCCCCCCTCCCCTCCCCCCTTCCCCCCTTCCCCCCCCCCCCCCCTTCCCTCCCCCCCTCCTCCCCTCCCGTGGCCGCCCTCGTCTTTGTCAACTCGCCATATCTCCCCCTATCTCCCCATATCTCACTCTACCTCCCGACAGG